AATGCCATGACAAAATGGTCAAGGTATCTGGTCATTCTGCTGCTGTAACCGGGTTCGAAATCAATGTTATCTCTAACCATCATCATCATCATCGTCATCGTCGTTATCATTAACATCATCATCATCATCGTCGTGGCCATCATCGTCAATATCACCAGTAACTCCAATAGACTCTTCACAAATATTCCAGCTTCCATCCCTAAAAATGAATGAGTGAATGAATGAACGAACGAACGAATGAACGAACGAATGGATGAATGAGTGAGTGAGTGAGCGAAGGGACGAACAATCAAACCAGCTAATCGAAGAAAAGTTATTCTCTCCAATAATAAAATGAAATATTGAATCACGCACACAACACACGCACGCACACACACACACGCATTCATTCTAATTTTAAATACGGTTATTAATAAGCTGGTATATATAAATGGATTTAATCCCTTGATGGATTGCGTTATGAAAGATGAAAATAATAATAAAAAAAAACTACAAATAATAAAAATATTTAACAATACCAATTAACATTATTATTATTATTATCAATATTATTATTATTGTTGTTTAAAATAATAGAACCTTTATAAGAAATGCTGAAAGCTGTGTGGTTGATAAGCCTTTGTGGCCGGCATTTTAAATTTCTAGCTCTGCCATCGTCTCGTTTCTTACGATAATCTGGTTGTTTTAAAATTACATGGAAGGTTGATTGTCTGATTGATTGATTGATCAACGTCAATCATCATCATTACATCATTACCGTCATCATCATCATCACCACCAAGATCATCATCATTATCACCACCACCGTCATCATAATCATCACCATCATCATCTCAATCATCATCATCAATATCATAACCTCTAAATCGAGATGTGGTTAGAGAATGATCTGATTCAGAGTCTCTTCTGATATTAACGCGCAGTGACTTCTCATGCTGGATCAACCCTCTCAAAACCGTGCACCTCTTCATACTCGTCATGCTAGCTAACTTTTTATGAAAAACCGCATTATTTTTATACAAAAAACGTTGTGTGTGTATTTGTATGTTTGTGTTTGTGTGTATTTGTGTGCGTGTGTGTGTGTAGGTGCCTCTCTCTTTTCTCTCTTTTCTCTCTCTCTCTCTCTTTCTCTCTCTGAGGGATTGTGTGTGTTTATGTTTTTCTTTTTAGCATTAAGATCGTTTTGGTAATCGGAGCGCTTCAAATTTTTCAAATTAGAAGATTATTTTAATTATAATTATAATTATTTATTGATAATTTAGATGAGATAACTAACCTCTAGATCATCGACCGTCAATGTAATAATATCGTCGTCCTTTTTGAGATAATTTATCATTTTAATCATTCGAACAATTATTAACTATGTAATTATTTCAAGTAATTGATCAATTAATTAAACGAATGATTTCAGTCAGTGGATTCAATCAAACTACTTTAAAATCAAGCTAGGAGAGAGCCAGGAGACTTGGACATTTTTTGTAGTGGTTCTTACACTGATGCCAGTCTACTGAACCACTTTAAACTTTGTTATTATCATTATTATTATGTTATTATTATTAATTTTTTTCTTAATTCAATAACCAATTAAGTAACCTGACGAGGTTAAACTATGAAAATTTTTAAAATTTGTTTCAGGGCAAAACAACGATGTAATATAATATACATAATTTACAAATTAATAAGCCGAAATTGAATCCACTGACTGAAACAATTAAAAAATCAACAATCAAATAACATTAGCGTAATCGACTAATTCATTTAATTAATTGATTGATCAATTACTTGAAATTATTACATAATTATGAATGAACTTAAAAATTGAAAACACAAAAAAAAACTTAACCGTCAGTTCGGCAGTGGCTGAAAAATTATAAAACAGATTTTTATAAATATAAAGAAATATACAATTTTATAGATATGAAATTATTTTAAAATATTAAACATTTTGTTTTTTTAATTTTATTTTGAATAATTATAAAAATAGCAATGTAAACGTGATGATGAAGTCAGAAAAAATGAAAGAAAAAATGCATACCTGTTGTTAGTATGTAGATGATAGATAGAGTAGTTAGCAATGGAGAGGGTGATTTGAGTTTTTTAAACGTCGTCGTCATTTTTACTTTATAATTCGTTGTTGTTGTTGTGCTGTTGTTGTCGTTGTTGCTGTTGTTGTTGTCGTTGTTGCTGTTGTTGTCGTTGCTGCTGTGTCGTTGCTGCAGCAGCTGCTGTTGTTGTTGATGATAATGATGTCTACGTTTTTAGT